AAGCGGTATATAAGTCTAATAAATAAATAAATAAATAAATACTTGGCCAATAAAGAATTCTATTCTATTCTAATTCACATTTTCTTATTTTCTTCTTCTCTATTCTATTCTTATTTTCTTCTTATTCTTCTTCATTCTACTCTTATTCGTATTTTCTTATTCTTCTATTCTGTTCTTTAGGAAAAGCAACAGGATTCCTTCCACACCCAGTCGCTATTTTGACCCAGGAAGAGCGACTCTTTTGCTTTGCATCCTTTATTTTTTTTGCTTGGGGGGGGGAGGGGGGACCACAGAGATGCGGGAACCGATTAGGCGTTGGGTTCATCAAACCCCACCATTCATCCTCGCGTGCCGGAGTGCAAGCTCCGCGCAAACCCCACGCAGTGCAAAAAAAAAAACCGGCTCCGTATCACCGCTGGCGGATGGACGGCCAGCATCGGACGGAGACGAGACGAGACCGAGACACCGATTGAGAGGAGCCGGCCGGGAGGCTGCGGAACTCTCTCGGGGAAGTTGCGAAAAAGGGGCGCGGGTGGCTTGCAAATCCCATCCGGGCGGGCACAAGAAGCTGCAAACTCGAGATCAAAGTCTGGGATTTTTTTGGGGGGGAGGAAGTAAGGACTCACCATGGCGCCCCAGATTTCCCCCCCGTCCTTCTTCTCCTCCTCCTTCCGTGGCGTGGCCCGAGCGGGGTCGACGGTCGATGGCGGCTCAGCCTCGTCTGACTCGTCGTCCCGGCCTGCCCGGCTTCTTCCCTCTCCCTCGCTGCGAGAGTCTGGTCCCTGAGTAGGCGGGGGGTGTTGGGGGGCGGGGCTAGAAGGGGAGAGAAAAAAAAAGTCTCCCGCGGACGGCTCCGCCCCTCTTAAAGCCTCGCGCGCGCGCCTGGAAGGGGTACATAGGGGGCGGGGCCCGAGCGAAAAGCGCTTCCCCTCAGCCATGCAGTGATTGACGATTGCGGCCGCCGGCTGCGGGGGGGCGCATGCGCTCTTCCACCAAAGCCTTTCCTCCTCCTCCCCCTTCCCTCACGCGCGCGCCGAGGTTGGGGACTGGCAGCGCCCCCTAGTGCAGACCTCGCGATCTGCATTCGAGGCTGCTTGGTCAGCCGTTCGGTGGGAGTGCACCGAGGCTCTGCTAGACTCCGGAGAGGATTTCTGCGCTCCCGAGAGACTCTGGGGCGAACGGGAGAAGCCTCCCGGGAGTCCCCGTTTGCAGAAGAGCAGGAGTCACGGTTAGGTCGCCCTGCCCTGATAGGAGTGTGAAGGGTGGGGTGAAATCACCCCGTAGTCTCCTTTTCTTTTTTTTTGTCTACCTCTCCGAATGCAGTCTAGCCTGGATCTCTNGGGTCTTTGGGAGGTAATTGGCAGCAGGCGGTCTCTCAAGTACCCAGGTCCAATACCATGAAGGGCTTTATAAGTTACGACTAGCACTGACCCGGCATGGCAGGTTAAAGGGGGAGAAGCAATTGTGGGGAGCATGAGGTATTTCAGTGGGGCGGGGAGGCTTTGGGTCATCTTAGGCAGGTGGCCTGTTCCATCACTACCCCCCCCCAATGGCCTTCCACACCCTGAAATAGCTCATGTGCATTTAACAAACCTCACATTCAATTAGCGAATGTGTGGTAGAAAGGAGGGAGTGATCCCGTTCAAGGTACGGGATTCACGCCCACAAATCCTCAGGTTACAAATGGAATGGGCAGGCTCTATTACATTCCTAAGTTGAGGACTACCTGCACCACTTTAATCACCAAGCTAAACCTGAATGCACATGCCAATTTGGTCGGAAAGTGCAACAGACCAAGCACACATCTCAAAACATACTTTAATCCATCTATATCTAACCTATTCATCATGGATCTCGAGGAAGTTATACATGATTTCCTGATAGTTCCCCACAGAAGCATTAACCAGAACCAAAACCTTAACCCAAATCTGTATTAAATACCTCCCCTAATGTATCAGCTTCTCTCCAGGAACTCAGGTTCAACTGTGCTCTCTGTATTCTATCAACATTAAGCATTTACAAGGCTTATTATTCACTTGGAGAAACAGCGGTGTGGCATAAAACAGCTGTATTAAAGTACTTTTCACTGGGATTTCAAAAAGCGGATACAGGTAATCTTCAACATAAGAACCACAATTGAGGCCAACATTTCTGTTGCTAAATGAGACAGTTAAGTGAGCTTTGCCGCATTTTATGACCTTTCTTGCCAGAGTTCTTAACTCCAATTGTTAAGTTAATAACACGATGGTTAAGTGAATCTGGTTTCCCCATTGACTTTGCTTGTCAAAGGGTCACAAAAGGCGATCACGTGACCTCAGGACACTAGAACCATTGTAAATATGAACCAGTTGCCCAGTGTCTATATTTTGATCATGTGACCATGGGGATACTGCAACAGTGCTAAGTGTGAAAAAGTCATTTTTTTCAATGCCATTGTAACTTCAAATGGTCACAAAAGGAATGGTTCTAACTTGAATATCTATAATCGTGATGGTGAACCTATGCCATGCGTGCCGGAAGTGGCACACAAAGCCATCTCTCTGGGCACGAGAGTTGTCGCTCGTTGCTCTTCCAGGTTCCGGCATGCCGGCCAGCTGGTCTTCATGCACGTGGGAGCATCAGAAATCAGAAAAGCAGCCGCCTTGTGCGCATGCACAAGTCAGGAAGATAATCTTCCGGTTTCCAGCACATGCATGTGCACCAACCACTTGGTCTTCTGGTTTATGGCATACATGTGTGCATGAAAATTAGGTGGCCAGTGCACATGAGCACGCAGGAAACTGGAAGATCATCTTCCTTCCGGTTTCTGGCATGTGCACACTCTCCTGTTTCAGCACTTGGAGCTGAAAAGGTTCACCAACACTGAACTATAATATGGTGAGTAAATCTAAGAATAAAGGAAGAAATAAGACACCTGTATGAGGCCAGTTTCTATGTTTTTCACATCACTATAGAAAAAGAAATATACCAAAAGATAGATCCACAATTATTAAGCTAGTTAGAACAGTTTTCTAACCGTGTAAAGAGCACTTTCATGTAAACTCGTATTTTTTCCCAGGCAAATTAATCTAATGGATGTAGGTATTATTCAGTATGCACAGGAAAAATATGCATCTCAATACCATTAGACAAAACTGCCAAAGGTGCACAATAATGTATTTGTAATTAGCATCCATTAGTTACGAAAGAACTTCTGAACTCGGAAGTCTTCTGCACTGAAAAAATGTTCCACCCCATCGCCTTGGAATCTCCCCGTGATGATCTTCTCAACTTTAGAACTAAACTTCTAGAGGGAGGAATCTCAATTACAGTACTGCAATTCTTTGCTGACATCACATTCACCACAACTTTTAACAGAAATGAGTGTATTTCAAGGATTTTTCTCAATCTCTCATTTAGTGGTTAGTGAAAGACCTCTGTTTCTTGTTTCACAAAAAGTGAAACACAAAACAGGAAACACCAGGTTGTTCTTCAGGCACAGCAAAAGCCGCATTATCTCAGGCTGGAGGAGGAGCACTTGTGTAAGTCCAATATTTTTAAACACAGAAATGTATCTGGACAACTTTCCAATATTGAGATTTTAGATTAATAGTGGGATTCAATTCAATTCAGTTTATAACAGTCATAGACCAGAGCAAATAAAAACAAAAAAATATACATTTAAAAATTCTGGAATAAAATAATAAAGAACAGATAAAATCCATCATAAAATCCAGTCCATCAATTACTCAGTCTACTATATTACCATGTTTCCCCGAAAATAAGAGAGGGTCTTATTTTCTTTTGATCCCCGAAATAAGCGCTTAGCCTTATTTTTGGGGAGATCTTATTATTTTTGAGGTGCAGGAGGTTGCTGCTGTGTTGCAATATTTTCGGGGAGGGCTTATTTTAGCGCATGTATTCAAAAGCCCGATTGGGCTTATTATCTGGGGAGATCTTATTTTGGGGAAAACAGGGTAAAATTACAATCCATAAACTGTGTGGCCCATAGTCAGTTTAATACTGAAAGGGAAAGGTATAAGCAGTGCAAAGGATTTGCCACATTTGCTGTATAAAATAGCTATGGTGGATTAGACACGTGTTTGCGACAAATCCCCAGTGCTGCTGCGCAGAATCTAGCCACCTGTGCTGTAGTTATGGACTGTGCATTCTTGAACAGCCACTGGAGATAAGTAGCATTGGAACAGCCAGAATACCTAGCAGTTATTGGCAGAATATGTTTTTTCCCGAATCTCTCTGTAAAAGGAACATCGAAGGAGTATGTGACCAACGATTCCACCTCTCCTAAGCCACAGGAACAGAGTCTTTCACTTGGTGGTATCTTTTTATATTTGCCGTATAGGACGGCCGATGGAAGCGCATGACACCATGCGAGGGAAAATGCTTTCCAATGATTTGCCGACTCCAACTGGCCAAGATACCTGGCAGGAGTAACAACATATCTAATGGCATCCGGAGCCAGAAACAATGGAGCTTTCCCTAAGTCTGTTCGCCTTTCAATGTTACTAAAGATTATTAGTGAATTTCCCTTGGGGAAATCTGGCTTTGAAAACATAGTGTTTAATGACATAATTATAAAGGGGGAAAAATACAGACAGTCTTTGACTTTGACAACCACAATTGACACCAAAATTCTGTTGCTAAGCGAGACAGTTGTTTAGTGAATTTTGCCCCAATTTATGACCATTCTTGCCATAGTTGTTAAGTAAATCACTGCAGCTGTTGTTAAATTAGTAACAGGGCTGTTAAGTGAATCTGGCTTTCCCGTTGACTTTTCTTGTCCAAAAACAAAAACAAAAAATCACAAAAAGTGATCACATGACTCCAGGATATATGCAACTGTCCATTGAGGATCTGTTTACTGCACAAGTCAAAAAGAGGATCGTGAAAGTATTTACAGACCCCTCACATCCTGGAATAAATGGTTTCAACTCCTACCCTCAAAACGTCGCTATCGAGCACTGTACACCAAGACAACTAGACACAAGAATAGTTTTTTCCCAAATGCCATCACACTGCAAAAGAAATAATTCCCTCACCTCTGTCAAACTATTCACTAAGGCTGCATTACTATCAATCCTCTCATCGTTCCTGTCACCCGTCTCCTCCCACTTATGACTGTATGACTGTAACTTTGTTGCTTGTATCCTTCCTGTTTATATTGATTTTTTCCTAGTATAATTTGATTGCTTATTAGTAACCTATGACTATCAGTAAGGGTTGTATCTTATTATTCTTGATGAATGTATTCTATTTTTTTATGTACACTGAGAGCTTACGCACCAAAGACACATTCATCGTGTGTCCAATCACACTTGGATAATAAAGAATTCTATTCTAAATACAAACCAGTTGCCCAGCATCCAAATTTTAATCACGCATCCATTGGGGATGCTGTTCATGGTCGTCTAAAGTGTGAAAAACTGTCCACAATGTCACTTTTTTAGTGACCTTGTTATTTGAACAGCCTCTCAATGAACTGCTATATGTCGAGGACCTCCTTGAATTAAATTAAAGTAAGGCAAAGAGGGAAAACATTTATGATAGAAGAAAAATCCTGAGCTGCATCCTGAACCATCAACCAAACCCAAAAGGATGGTGCTTAAAATCCACATTTTAAAAAACAATTGCTACCAACCTGCCTTCCATTGCGGTATAGTGAACTAGTCAAAAAGAGGGCTGTGAAAATATCTACAGACCCCTCACATCCTGGACATAAACAGTTTTTTCCCAAACGCCATCACTCTGC